TGCTGTCTGGGAGGAGAACCATTTTTATCACTGGTTGCGCTGAAGAGATTGGTTACAAACCCTAAGGTTTTAAAGGGGCACATAGTTGAGTGGTTCACCTGCAGCAGTGGTAATTGGTGACAATGTGATGTTACTGCATAGCTCTACACTAGCTGCAGAGAAGATCCCCAAAGGACTAGTACCTACGGCCCTGGCTTACCAGGAGTCTCTCTTCAAGAGCCTGTCCATATGCTCTCCTTAGACTATCTGGATTATGTCATAGCAAAATACAATCAATGCACCTTTGATCAATGCAACAGGGTGGTGACAGGTACTCTTAATTCACTGTTGTTAGTGAGTATTGACAAGCCTGTAATGATCATGCTGCAGTGTGTCATTCATGCTGGGGGCATTAGCATTCTTTAAAGGTCAAAAAACAAATCCTTCCAGAAGACAGAATTCCATACAGTTGATGGAAAATGCAGGCCTTGCAAAGTCAAGATGTATGTCTCTGCACAACTGAGGTTATCAGAGCTGAAGTTGGTACAGTTGTTGGCATTATTAATGAGTTCATCAATTTGCAGGTGTACAAACACATGTATGCATGGCATGGATGAACACAACATGCAAAAGCGGCATAAGAAAGTTTCCAGGCTTATGTGCACAGATCATATCATTTCTAAAGGTCTGGTTAAAATACAGTCCTTGGATCCTGCAAGGGATCCACTGGGTAAGCTGATCTTTGCAGACATTTATCTGCACTCTGATACGGAGTCTGCCCATTTTCAGCTCGGTACTGCACGAGCTTATCAACTTGCACATTCAAGTTTGCAGAATTAAATTTTTTTTATTTACTTTTTAAAATTATGCTATTTTGTTTTCCCACATTAAAAGATGTGGCACATAAACAGTGTCCACTGGTGAGAAGCGGGCAGAGAGATTCTCAGTTTTCAAGACGCTGTTTCTGAATTGGGGAAGGGGCACAATAAGAATCAAAGCAAAAAAACTGGGATTGCAGAAACCACATAAACTGGCCACAAAATGATACTTACTTTGTGAGACTCTTACTAGCTCAGTCACACTGAAAACACCTGATGTGACAAAACTGTCCTGGAAGCCCAAATGTCCTACAAAACAAACAGAGTGAGAGAACTGCGATTAACTTTAAGCATTTAATGACAGTATTCTGAAATACTTTACTTTCATTTAGACTTAAAATGTGACATCCAATTTCCCACTTAGCAGTAATTATTGTTTATGTAGGTGGGTAACTAGTCATACAGCTATGTAGGCTGCTTTGTGGTTTCTATCTAGAGGTTAGGAAAGCTAACATGACACATCAGCAGGGAGATTTTTACATGTTAAAGCATCTCAACAGGAAATCTGAAACAAAAGAGGACTATTTTAATAAACGGTTACCTTGGATGACCCCTAATGACTTCACAATTGAAATGAAAATACTGTGCCTAGGAAACAGACAGGACAGCTAAGTTCCATAATCGTTTTAAACATTATTCTCTAAAGAAACATCTGATCAGGATTATCTACCCATTCATTCAAACAAAACAAGATTTAAAGATGTACTCTTCATTTTCTAAGGTTACACTAGGGAAATCTTAAAATAGCAGCTGGTTAAAAAAAATTAAATTAATGTCTTTCCCACAAAAAAAAAAATTCCTAACATTTAAAACTAGCTTTCGAAAAGAAAAATAAACCTCTGCATAAGAAAAGTATTAACTTCAAGCTTTGGTCTGTCTTTAGGAACCAGGGTGTACGCTGCCATGCTCGCCTCCCTTGTGCAAGGAATGCCTCTACACTTGGTATCAAAATGTTATTACACTTTACATAACAGTATTTTTCTTCTTCTCTGAAAACATGCCTACCACCAAATGTTCATTTAATTTTCACGGGTATGATCAATTACAAAAGGAGCAGCTCTCAGGCTGCAGCCCAGTCTAAGTGTGCAGAGTGGGACACAGCAGTTCGCGCGGGACATATCTGGGTTTCAATTAGAGGTCTGCAGTTAGTCGGCCAGACTGACCTCCTGCTTTTGAAATCAGGGTCAAAGGAGAAATCTCAGGATAAAGAGATTATTAAAAGAACTGTGAAGTCCTACTTGTCCACAGGATAAGTGGCATACCTTTTTAGGTTGTCCTACTTAGAGTCACTGATTCCAAGCATGCACACATATATTATTGAATGTTTTGCAGGGGCACCATCTGCTCCGTTGTTAATTGTTTGTCAGATTCAGTACAATTTCCCTACGTTCAGTATATTCTACCGTACCCCACATCCGTCATGGTAATACCTGCGCCCCTACCTATAGTGACCAGAGCAGTAGGACTAATGTAAGCTGCATATTTGTTCTCCTGTCTTTCTTTTGGGGTTGTTTAAAAACAGCAGCATATCCCATTGCCATTTCTACCTGCAGAATGGGAATTAAAAGAAATGCATCTTGTGTGCAGGACTACGGAGGGTGATATGTCAGGGAAAAGTCTGGAAGAGATTTGGAGGGAGGTCAGCCGTTCATCTCCAGCCAAATCCTCAGCGAATTCTGCTCCTGCACAGAAGAACTTCTCTGTTTCTGTGAGGATCCTATGGTGCCAGATGAACGCAGTTGCTAAGCTAACAGACTTGAGACAAGTTTCTACATCAGGCATGTTTTTATACTTCAGCAATAATGATGAGTTTTCAAACTGTGTATATGTATATCTTTGGGCATCCTTGTGTATGTGTGTATACATATGTATTATGTACACAAACATATAAATATACACAAATCTGTCATGCTCCAGCTGTAGATAAATGTACTATAAAATATTGAAATTGATGCTGAAATTCAACACAAACAAATTCCTCAATCTGCAAACAAGGTTTTTATTTACATCAAGAGAATAAATTTTTCTCTACTTCAAATGAAAAAATGTTCTTACAAGCTTTTATTTTTCCTTATTTTCAGCTCAGAAATAGCTCTCAGATAATTGTAAATGCTTTTGCCTGATCTGCTTTATATTTTACCATAATAAAGGTGATGACTACATCATTCTGCTTTTTAGAAATGGTTGCTGGCCATACACAACGTTTGTTCAGTGACAATTTCCCAAGTATTTTTAATATGAAGATCTACTTTTCATATGCTGCAGCAGACCTGCCTATTGAATTAAATGATCTGTGAATTAAAAATAATTCTCTTAGGTCTTCACTGAAACCACTCATGTGCCTAAAATTAAGCATATGCTTAAGTGCCTTGCTGGATCAGGGCCAGGATGCTTACTACTCCGCAGAGCCCTTCGTAGGGAAGCCAGTCTATGCTATATAACTTCTCATACTGTGCTCATCATGGCAGTATCTGAGCAACTTCCAGACGTGCACTCAGCGATGCTACGAACATCTGTCACGTGTTGGTTTTTTCACAGTGCACCATATTGGCTCTGCTCTGGTGTCCACTTCCACCTGCATTTCCCAGGCAGGTTTTTATTGGACTGAGAGTGAAGGTGAAATTTAAATATGGAAGTAAAAAACAAATCACAGCTATGGTAGGACATTTGGCTCATTTTTTAAGGGAAAGTCTGGAGTGCTTTGTAATCATCCAATAAAAACATGATTGTCACATGGCTAACCGCATTACCTTAACCTAGCCAACACAGGTAAAACCAGAAATGAAAATGCCGTAGAATGGTTTTAAACACATTCTAGCTCTCAGGGTCCCGCAGGGCATGAGAAAAGTTGAGTAAGTTAGTTTGGGCCTGCTAACTTCATTATTCCTATTTTGCTGGGTACACCTGAAATGTCCACTTGCTTCTGTAGGAACATTTCTTATGCGTCTACATATAACAGTAATCATTAAACAACAGCACGTAACAAGAGTGATTAGATTTTCATCCTTCAATACTGAAAATAAACATTTCACAAATGAAAGGTGAATTTCACAATTCTCCAATTTGTTATTTACTTATAAACATTAGGAAATCAGGGACTCATCTCGCCAATCATTAATATCTTGATACGCATAAAAGCAATGCCCTTGGCTTAGAGTTGTATCTTGAACTCAATTCGATGCACAGTTGGTCTGTGAATTCACAGTTCAGCTTCACTGACGTGCAACTCCACGAAAGTTTAAAGGTTTGCCTGGATGGTTCAGATTGCAAAATCCAGGCCTAAGACTGTAGCTTTTGCTGAGCTGTGATAACAGTGCAACAAGAAAATGAGAGAAATAGGACAAAGAAGCTAGACATGCAAAAGAAGAATGACTGGGAAATAGCAGGATTGACAAAATATGTGAAGTAAACATTTTGCACCTATTAACAGGGGTCAAAATGCAAAAATATATCAATTTGGCTGTTCCACTTAATTCTGAATGAGAAAAAAATAGGTAAAATCAAGCAATTACATATGCAGATGTTAGCATTAACGAGCTCCTTTACTGAAAAGATGATAAACATCTTGAAAGCTTGCAAGATTTACTTTTCATACGGCACTTTACTGAAATACATGCATTGTGATACTTTTGCTAAATATCCCAAAGACAGGACATTGAAATTGCTGTGTATGATCTGGTTATCTCCACAGCTTTGTGTGACAGTCACATTTTGGTAGTAAAGCAGGTGTTCAAAATGAGGATGAGAGAATTTTTACTCACTTTATAAAAAACTAACAGACCTCATTCACTGAAATTCTGGGTATAAATTAAGACACCTGGCTAGCCAAGGCAGGCCCTGACTCAGCAAAGCAGTTAGAGCACATGCTTAATTTTAATCACATGCTTGACTAAAGCACATGCTTATTTGTCCTGCCAAATAAAGATAGGCTGACAAAGTTAAGCAGGTATTTAAACATATTGTTGAATCATTGCCTTCAACCCAAGTCTAGGTCCCGCTAGGAGTTAGCTCATTACACAAGACCCCACTTCGGCTCATGAGGATGATCGTTTTTTCCTCAAGGGCAAGAAAAGCCCAGGCTAATAAGACCAAATTGAATGAAACAGATTAGGATACTAACTAATAAATAATATGCCATTACCCAGTTGCATGGTTGGTATAGCGTACAAACACGATGCAACACTATCATAACAAGTACCACATGAAAAATGTTTTTCCCTAACTTGGTGACTGCTTTAACTGGGGGGAAAATTCATAATGCGATTTACATATTCTTCTTTTCGATTGCAGTAAAGAAGCCAGAAGAAAAGGCTTGAATTGCTGGAGCCTAATTCTGATCTCAAAGAAGTTTTAAACAAGTCTTTCTACACTGATCAAATAGAGTTTCACCTAATTTTCTCCTAATTTACACTGGCAGAGGAGAAATCAGGATTAGGACTTGTTGTCTAATGCTATTTGTTTTGAATTATTAAGCAAACATTCCTATTTCAATGAGTAAACGTGTACAAAGGCAACTAACCTTCGTCCTAAAATCTAGTTTACAGGGAGAGTATTGTCTGCTTTCCCAATTAATGCTGTAAAAAGGAGTCTCAGACGTTGAGCTACCAATCAAGAGCTTGTGTTGTAGCTTGAGAAAATCATGACTGATGCAATTACTTTTATGTAGAAAGTCTGAATATGGTCTATAGGTTAAAGTTCATCGGGTTATTGTTCCTTAATTGAATATCAGAAGATGTTTTCAAGGTGCTCAAGGTATTATTGTTCTTTAATTAGCAGGCTTCCTTGTGTAATCCAACAGTATTATTTTTATTATAAAATAGTTAGATTGCACCATAAATATACAAGCTATTTTCTAAACAGAGATACAGCTAGTTTCCTGAAATCAAAGCTTAAATAAAATTA